AAAAAGCGCCCACACTTAAAATTATAGAAAGAATAGCGCAAGTCACTCGACATCTGCCAACGATCACAAGCCAGACGCACGATTTAAATCTTGGCGGTATCTGGAACTCTGTACATCAATGCCCAGCTGTAAACGCATATTGTAAATAATACACCCGTTTGATATTGAACTTAATATGTCGGTTCGCTAAGATATTCAATACGTAAACATCGTTTGAGCAACATTCCCATGTACCAAAGTGAAGTCTAAGCCTGCTGAATTGTTTCTAATGGTAACAAATGGTATTTATTATTCAAAGCTGAAAATATTAGTTTTATTATTTTAGGGCTCGGAATAGCTTTTCTTGAGGTACCTAAGAACGCAGAAAAAATCCAATACTTTTTAGTGTACATTTTTTTTCGACTTTTGCACCCCAGCAAGCTGGCGCACTGCGCCTTTACAATCCCCTCTGTTCCTCATAACAAATATAGGAAAGTTAAATAATATTACAAAGAGTAGCCCCCACACTGTATTTTCGCATGAAAAATTTTACCTTGCTTTCTCAAGAGTAAAACCCTTTTCTAATACTGTATTTTTGTTACTATCAAGGAAAGCGAAAAGTTCTAACTGTCTAGAAAGGTAGAATAATAACTTCAAATGTTTTTAAGGAAGTGTGAATTGTTCAAAGAACATATCTCTATACTGAACTGAACTCTCTCTATACTGAAAACCCCTTTACTGAAAATTTGTTTCTAACATGTTTGTATATTTGTTTGATATTCTCTAAGTATGAAGGTACATTTATACATTTTTTAAGAAATAAACACGCTTCATTAACGACTTTTCTTCTTAATGGAAAGGACAGGGATAAAGTGGTGTAAACATGTGAGGGTTTTCACACGGGTACGCTAGTAAAATATAGTTTTAAAATCGGCAGAGGCGCACTAAAACTTTTTCGTCTTTGTATTTTTTTGAAGTTCCAAATTATCAAAACCATAAACTCCTGGGCCAGGAACTACATCGTTTTATTTCAATTTCTGCACCCATTGAATATATATATATTATATATATAATATAATATAGTTATATTATATTATATATGTTTTTGTTTATTTCCTGAGTTCCTGGGCATCTATCAATACCACAAAAACCATTATCGATATCTCATAAGAACAGCAGGTTGTATAATTTTCTTACTAATTCTGCGCGCATTAGAAATTGGTAGGAAATATGTTTTTACTTTCTCGCTACCGCTTACCCAGTAGAGAGAAGTTATGTAATGCTGCGCTAAAAAACAACGAATTTTCGGCAGAAAAACGTTTTACAGATAAAGAAAAAGTCAATAAATCGGCTTTCTGTCCGCCTGAGGTTTGCCCTTGCGCCTAAACCGTTCAACGGATTATGACCGAAATTGTTATTCCCTGATTGAGCTAAACGAACAGACGGCTTTGGGAGTTTCAAGCGGATATTTTGATTTCTGAGTTCTTTTTTGTTTGTGTGTGTGTGTTTTTTTTTTTTTTTTCCCTCGTAAAGCGGGCATTTACATTTTGTGCATCTGTACACGAGCATCTGAGTTCGACCCATACGGCTCTTCTGTGCCCTAGAGCAGAGTTTGCCAACTGCCGGAGGAATGATGTCGGAACTCCGTTTCCCCTCGCGAGCGCCGCGCGCCGTCCCGGAGAAGCGGTGCCAGCAAAGGGGGTGCGGAGAAAGGGGCAGACGGCGGTCGCTGATAACGTAAACCAGTGGGTCTTTGCCGGAGTTTCCGGGAACATGAAAGGGACACCATCTACGCCCATTAAGTGTCTTTCGGTTTGGGAAGAAAGGGTTTCTTTTGTAGATACCGTAACAATGGCGGAGCGTTTAGTGTATTCGAAAGAACTGCAGTATGTTAAAGAATTCAACCGACAGAGGCATTACGCAGCTTTGCCACTCACAGAAACCCGCGTGATGAAAATAATTTCTGAGAATTTGCAGGTAGCCTGAAATCGTGAAATGAGAATAGGATTTTGCAGATAGAAGACTTTGGAAAAGTAATTGAAAATCACGAGGACTTACAACAATCTTTAACAGAACTGTACTCTATAAATAATCAAGCTTAGAGTTCAAATTCTCCCACGTGACCCCTCCTGGGTATCTATATGTACCTATTGGTTAACATTAACTTCACAGGAACAGAAAATAAAAACGTTTATTCTATTCTGAAGCCAGAAATGCGCCACCACCCTCCAGTTTTTTAAATCGCAAAAAACCTCCGTAATATTGTAAAGTTCATTCTTTTTTGAAAATAAAAAAACTGGAAGGTGGTGTGACAATTCTGGCTTCGGATTCAGCGCTTTGCCATACATAAAAAGAAATATGTGTCAACCACCGAAAATCAATAAATTGTGGTTTTTCGCGAATAAAAACCTGGAGGGTGGTGGCTTAATTCTACCTTCAGATTCGAATTCAGCGCTTTGACATATAGAGACAAGTTTTTTTTATTTTACATATTTATAACTTTTTTATTTTGTGTGCCTGTGTTATTAGTTCGGGACGAACTAAAATTGCTATATTACATAACATTATACAAAATATTGTATTAGAATGTTAACACTGCCTTCTCCAACAATGTTATGTGATAGAAAGGAAGTGGAGTTACAGTACTGGTTACGATGGAGTAGGAAGTTGCTTTGTGTTTTGAAATAATCCACGTTCCATTTTTTAATGTTTCATATTTTTATTGAATCATAAACATTTAAATAATCATTATCATTTAAAAACGTAAATATCGAGCGACTTTTCCCCCACCTCCGTATCATTGGAACACTGTAAGCCCGACGCCGCATCCGGCACTGGCTTTGCTCCGAGTCTCGGATCCCAGCAGATTTTTGTTACTTCACACATTGAGATGGCAAGCCCTGCCCTACAGGTATGAGTGTCGGTAAGTTAACTTTGAGGATTTGCGTTTGGATGTCGGAGTGAAAAAAATATTGTTGGCTGAAAAAAAAAAATTGCAGGTTTATGCAGTATATTATAGCGGAGCAGTTAGAAATACTGCGAGGAAGTATGTGCTTTTGTAGCACCACTAGTTGAAAATTACAATTATTTTTTTTCGAACCTGCTTTTCAGAACTTCACTATTGAATCCAAAGATTTACTTCTTACTGGAATCTACTCCACAATATTATATTTTTAAGATTTTTTTTGAGAAAATCACGGGTAGAAGTTCACGTCTTCAACAGAAAATAGCTTTTGCCTTTAGATGTAGATTTATTCAGTCAAAAAGACAGTAAAAACTGTATGTGACATAGGGGGAAATGATTATCTGCGCACGTTTTCTTGAGTTCCAGAATCCCTTCCCATCATTTTAACTACAAATAGTTGAAAGATTACTAAAAGTTTAACATAAATAAAAATAAATTTTAAAAATCGTAAGATTAGCAATATTTGAAAAAGAGTCATTTTTGCTTCAGAGTTGTAGAAAACTTATTTGCATCGGTACACGCATTGCAAGTATGATTTTGCGCATTGCTAACAAAATAGCAACTCGCCCTTACCTCTAATCTTACCATTGCAAGCAAAATTAGAGTTCAACAAAACGTGCGCATAGTGAAGCTACATTTACGTCCAGAAGCAAAACAAGGGGCCATTTCGCATTTTCTCAATGGATCAGAGAAACTGGACAAAACCTGATCGAGATGCGGGTCATTGACCCGGAAGCTGAAATACATTATTTGTTACAAACATTAAGTCTTTTAAAAAAAATAAACAATACAAAGGTAAACGATTTCATTGTATATCACTGTTTTGTTAAAATAAACATTATTTTTCTTTTTAATAATCAGTATAGTCTCTAATTGTACATAAACAGTTTTAATAAACATGTACATAAACAGTACATGTAAAATTGTACATAAACAGCGGCAGAAAAGATTTTACTTTTAACTTCAATTTTGAACCGACTTCAATTGTTTAATGTCATCTGGCATTGCGTTGTAAAGTAACGTACATTGTATGTGGATTTCTGATAGTGAGCTGTTGATACTGACACTTGATGAACGTGATTTTTACGACGTGTGTTGTAATTATAAATATTAGTATTGCATGAAAATATGTTCCCACTGATAAGTAAGTCACTTTTGACAAATATTACGAATTCGTAAATATACGGGCAAGGCAGTGGTAAGTTTCCAAGCTTAATGAAGAGAGGTTTGCATTAAAAATAGTACATAAATAATATTCTCTCCAAAACAGATCCAATTCTTTTCTGGAATGTTTCAAAGTTCACTTCTCAGAATGGCAGAGGTCCAATTTTCAATAAACATATGGATTTTGAAAAATTGCAAGCATTCAATTTCTTTCTTTTCTTTTTTCCTTTCATTATTGAAGCTTGATATATCTCGCATGTATTTACACTATTATTTTTCTTACAATTACGGTATCATTAAGGTACCAACTCCAAGTAGTTTTTTTCCTCCTTAAATTGTATATAACTCATTTGCCGAAAAAATGTACTTTGCAGGTGCAACAACAATTTGTTCTGTCATTTTACATGATACTTATTTATGAAGACTTCATGAACACAACGAAAATTTGTAAGCACTTGTGTTAGAGCGAAGTGTTAATCAATTCAGCCCCTTTGTCTTCAATATGCAATTAATATATTTTTGAGAGTTTTATTGAAAAATGAAACACAAGAAAGCTTTGAAAGGAAAAATACTTTGATGAATCACGAATGATGCTTGTTTTATTACCCCCCTCCCTCTCTGAAAAAGAAGGCAAAATGGAAGAATTGCTGTAAAAACAATCCAAAATATGTGAAGAGATATAATTATGTACAGCAGGATGACAAAGTGAATGTGATGCAGAAGGGAAAAATTAGCAACAGAAATAAAAACTAAAATTGTATGTCAAGTATCTAGAAGTAGATAAAGAAAGATTCACAGTATGGATTCAAAGAAGAAGTCATCTTGAAAGAAGAGTTTGAAGGACTTCCTGTGAGTAACTGATGTGAAAATAAAAATGCATTTTGAAACTTACTTTTTGAGGTGGAGAGCCAATCTCTACTTCAATATAATAACCTTGTCCAGGATATCCCCATACATTATCACTGAGAGACTCCACAAACATCCACAAAAGTACAGTGAGCCATAAAGTATCTTTTCCAATGCCTGTTAAATCATATGAACTTCTTAAACAGAACTCTCCGAAAACAAAAAATCAAAGAACATTTCACATGCCTTACCTCTTGTCATGTCAACAGTAGGCCTAATCCAAAGAACAGTACATTTATATTATCATTTTAAAATATAATTTAACATTTAGCTGTTGAAGTAAATTAGGTTTGAAAAACAATAATTGAAAAATTCTTCATAGAAAATATAGAAAGTTGTAAAGTAATAATGTCTATTCAATTTAAGAAGTCAAAATTTTCTCATTCAACTTTTGAATACAACCAGAAGACAGTATTCACCATTTATCACAGGTTCATAAGTACCAAACGACACAAAAACACAATCTTAGATAACCCAATTATGATCTAAAATATTTCATTCCCAGACTGGGTGCATCAATTCATTTGTATATAACAGGTAAATTTCACCCATATATTCCAAATATCTTCAATGTTCAAGATAATTAGCAATAAAATAACGACTACGTGCTCAATGAACACTAACTACACTTTAGAAGCATATTTTCTTCCAGAAAATTACTTAAGGCGGCATTAGTGCATTAACATTCCACGATTTGAATAAAGGCTTTACGTCAAACTGGTCAATCGCCTGCTGGGAAATACTGACGCACCAGGCTTTTGCAATGCACTTGCAATGATAATCCAGGGACTTCAATATGTCACAATTGGCAACGGGAGCTGCGAATTTCTATCATAACAAACGATCATCGCCCTTGCGACGGCAAGCTTCACGGAGGGGAGAGGAACGAAAAGCATTTATTTTTCTCTGTGGAAAGGGAGGGGGGATGCATGGTATCAGCTCTCTGGGTATCAGTGTGGGCAACACTGTTAATTTGTATCTCTTGTCAGTAGTCTTCACAAAAACAGGATAATTACGTACGCGACTTACATTTTGCACCGGTGACTATGCGTCAAGGAGGAAGTGACAAGAGCGTGAGATTTTTGCGTTGTGCAGTACTGATTGTGATTGTCAGAAGGAAACATTGGTGATTCCATAGCTTTGAACAACTTTGATGCAAATGCAACATAAAGTATAAACTTTAAAACCTTTGTGCAATCGACCTTCTGAAAATTAACTCACTTGAAGCATGACAGTCGATTAGTGTCATTGAAATTCTGGTGCTAATTGACAGTGTTTTTATGTGCTCCTTGAACCATGTAATATTTTACATTCTGTGGATGTAATGTTTATGTATAAAAAACAACAAATAATGAAAGCATCTCTTGTTAGAGAGAAGTAACTGTTAGTTTCCCAAATGATACACTTTTGGCAGGCACACCCTTTTAGAGTTGCTGCTTATTAGGTCTTAAGAAACAACTGTTCATAAGTCTGGCCTTTCTGGGGGAAAAAACTTGGAAGTATTTACCTTATGTTTTTTAAATGCATTTCAACCCCTTTTTATAATTGGTTGTTAACTTTATCTTAAATAAGGTAAATGTACTTTCTTTTCTGTATTCTTGATGGATTTGAGAACAATGTTTTGCATCTGAAATTTCCTGATACCGTTTTATAGTGTTCATAAACATTGAATTATCAATTGAAACACAATTCAAACACATTCTCTCTCTTTCTCCCATTTTTAAAATTTTGATGCATTGATTATTTTTCACTAATGATTTAACTGGAAATTACCCCAAAATATTTGAATAAGGGATCAAATCCATTATTTTTCTTGCATTAATTCCTGCTCAAAAACAATGTCAAATCATCAAATCACTGATTCTCCTGCACAACAAGAATCTGTCAAAGCAACAAAAAGAACTATCAGAGACCATCATCAGTTACAACAAACAAAAGTATATAAAATAATAGTTATAGGCGATTCAAATGTCGGAAAAACCTGCCTTACTTATAGATTTTGTGCAGGGAAGTTTTTAGATAAATCTGAAGCAACAATTGGTGTTGATTTCAGAGAAAGAACTGTTGACATTAATGGGGAAGAAATTAAAGTGAGTTGGAAATACTGATAAAACATTTGTACAATCATATATTTGAATTATGTGTATATTGATGAATTCTAATAATGGCTTTATTAATGTCTGAAGCTTCAGTTATGGGATACTGCTGGACAAGAGCGATTTCGGAAATCTATGGTTCAGCATTACTATCGGAATGTACATGCTGTAGTAGTTGTATATGATGTGACAAAAATGGCATCATTTCTGGTAACTTTGTTGTGTTTTCTGTTTATATCTTCATAATTCTGTTAACACATGTAATCTTCCTCATTACTTGTAGAGTCTACCCCAGTGGATGGAGGAATGTGAAAAAAACAATTTGACACGAGATATTCCTCGGATCTTAGTAGGCAATAAGTGTGACTGTAAAGATGTACAAGTGAAAACCAATTCAGCACAGCGTTTTGCCGATCTTCACAATATGCCAGTAAGTTTAAGGATGTGGTTGCCTACTGCAAGGGCATTATGAGCTTTGAAAGACAAAGAGTTATTGTCAAATAGTTAAAAAATGATAAGTCTCCATATATTCTGTTGGTTGTATGATGATAGCTAACTACTACATAAATTAAGTTTGATTTTAAACAATGAGTGTGCGAGTTCATGTTACCATGTGCAGGCAAGGATCCATGGGGAGGGAAATAAGGGAAATCTCCCCCCCTAAAATTTTTCAGTAACTATTAATTTTAACTTGTCAGGAAACTTTCTAGCAAAAATATTTTTGGTTAATCATTAAAACGAATAAAATCGTATTACAGCATGAGCTGAGTGTAGCCTGCTATGTTTTACAAAATATGTAATATGGTTCATTCGACCAAAACATTTTGAATTTCCTTCCACAATATTTATCTCCGGATCCACCTTGCTATATGGTATTTCTTGAATGATCATAATAGAAATAGAGAAGAAATTTATTTGATAGATTCAATAAGTATACAAGGTTATTCAAATCCAAGATAATCACTGAATTGTGATTATGATTTTTGTTGCAGTTATTTGAAACTTCAGCTCGAGATGACCAGGAGTGTGATCATGTGGAGGCAATTTTCCTCACATTAGCTCATAAGCTGAAGAATCAACGGCCCATGATGCCTCCACAGCCAGTGCCAGCATCCAGTTTGCATAGAGCTGATGTGATCTCCATTACACGTGAAACACCTTCAAATGGTGCTGATGCCGGGGAAAGTTGTATTTGCTGAGTGAAATACATATTTTGCTTTCTTGAAATCATGAAAAGGGTGGGGACTTTTAGCTTTAGTATATTTCAACACTGGTGATAGTACTAGCTTGGAAGATGTTTACAAGTTGCTCTTCCATTGAAAGAACATTGGATCCGTGATAGAATTGTATACTGTAATTGATGGAAAGGAAGCTGTAATTTTTAAGTTAATGAAATATCCATCCGAAAAGACTATATTAAACATTTCTGATCACTGCCATGAGGAGTTTCATGTTGCTCTCATATATTTGTTTGGTCCATCATTAATCTATTTTTTTATGAATACCGTGTTTTGGAGAATATATTCAAAAACTTCTGAGTCACTGACTTTTCCCTGATATCTCTACACAGTGTTTCAGTACCAAGATAAATTTTTTTTTTTAACTATTTCGTGAGATTGCAATTTATCTTCAGCACGTCTCCACTATATTACTCATTAAATTTAATAATGAAATTTAACCATTCATAATTTGTTCCAAAGACAAAAAAGTAACACAACCAGTATATCATAAAAACAATAATTATTAGACCTCGGAAGTTCAGGTGTTTATTTTACGTAAAATGTCAGGCAAAAGGGCATCTATTTTTACTAAAAATAGGCATGTAATCAATGAAAAATCACCTTTTAAAAAGGAATTTTTGTAAAAAAAAAACCAAACAAAACAACTTTATCATTTAAATGATAGTGCAATTGTGGACTATCGTTTGAATCCTGGAAAGGTATCAGTGAAAACACATGTATTGTTTTCATTCTTCGCACTTGGGAAATCACTAGTGCTAAGAAGGGCTGTATTGTATATCATGTTAAGAAAGTTCTGCCCTTCAAAGGGATCGGAAGCAAATCTCAAAGAGGTAGAATGGGGTTCCTCATGAGTGAGCACAGCCTATTTGCATCAATAAAAGAGTTAGAAAAATCTTTTCTGATACTCTCTTCCTTTCTCATTTATATTTTTAATGCTTTCTGACCCTGGGATCTCTGCTTGCAGAGAAAGACAAAATGTGCCTTTTTGTTTGTTCAGGCTTACAAGTATGTATTGGATGCTTATACAGCTGAAAAAGGACTAAATGAAAATCTAAAACTATTCCAGATGTGCAGTTAAATAACTCCTATTGTTAAAAGACTTAAAATCTTTATAATTAGAAAAATAATTTTTCCGAACTTCCGGGCTTTAATAAGTCATCACACAACTGTGTTTCAGAATAAGATCATGGAAAATTGACAAAATTACAGTGTTGGAGAAGTGAAAGAAAACTACACTTTTAAAAGCAAATCTTTATCGTTTTGATTATTACAATCCCATTTCAACTATGGAGATAATTTCACTTTCCTGTTGACTGCCAGACAATTAAGTTGAACATCTCAACTCAGAGGAAAAGAGAAATTAAACATTCAAATGCTTCTCATTGGAAAATTTTATTCTCCTAACAAATAGTATTGATATATTTCACTCATTTGTATCTGCTACAATGGAAACTGTCACAAATTGAATTAAAAAATATAGAGATTAGGAAATATAAGAAAAATGAATGTTAATAAATGAATAACTAAGTGTCTACATTCCACATTCTTCAATTTTGTATTTTAAGAAACTTGCAACAAGGAAATCCTTTATGAAGTTATTGCAATATCCCAGGCAGTAGTCAGTTGTGTAGTCATAAAATATTTAGTTTGAAAGCAGTTAATTTTGAGCAATAAATGCATATCTGTTGTCTGGATGGTAATTCATTTTGCTTAATCCTTCTACATATCAAATCAACCTTTCCTCCCTCAAAGCCAGGCAACAAAACAAACAGATAACAAAAAAAAAGCTATTGCATATGCCCTTGTACATTCTCAGTAATTTTTTTGAAATTACTGAACACTAATTGGGTGGAGGAATGTAGATTATGTAATGCTTAGTTCACCAAATCCATTTTTCAGATAGCATTTTAATGACAGAGTGACAAACTTGTAAAAGTGTTTTTGAAAATATTCCATTGTCAACTGGTGGATCTTTGAGTTTTTGTTTATTATTTTGAGAATTTTAAACATGTCAGAATTCTCTTCTTTAAAAAAATAAAATACTAGTCATTTCCTCATGTGTTCGGGTTTGATTGTGTATTATTTGAAATTACACTCTTTGAAGGTCATGTTAACCAATACTGCATGTGTAACACAGTGAGCTGATATTGTTACACACCCATTTTCAAATGGCTACAAAAAATCTCAATAATATCCTCGTATGCCTGTTTCCAGAAGTTTAAAATAAATTCCTGTTTCTTTTTATTTTAATTTTATGATCTTGTTTTTTCTTACAAGCAAATTTGTATAATTATCATGTCTTAAGTATGTAATGTTAATTTTTGTCTTCCCAGCTAGTGCAGTCTGGGATGATTGTTTAAGATGAGTTAATACAAATATTTCAAATGGCTAATGAGAAAATCTCAAATGGTAGGTTTGAAGGATCTACTTGTAATGTACCTGCTCCCAAAAGAGACTTACTTGTGTTAAAATATTGCAAATTAAAAGGAGAGAATTGTGATCTTCAGATGTTACTAATTTCAATTAGAAATGGCAACTGTAATTTGTGTATTTCACTTCTATTAACATTTTTGTGCTATTGTATTGAAACACATCTTAGTAGAAAATGAACAAATATTTCTAAGTTCATTTAGTCAACCTGAAAGAAGATTTTTAAAATTATTTTTATCTGTAATGCATCTTCTGAAGTCAATGCTACCCACAGATTCAGTGGCTGATGCGTAAAGTTTGTTTTTGACAGCTGTTTTGTATTGTGAGCTCACTTTAACATAAAATTCTATCCACATTCACAGATTATTTTGATACCAATCACATCCTTCAATTTGTCATGTATTTTAAGAATCAGGTTTATTTTTAAGGGGAGTTGATCTGGGGGTTTGATACACAATCATTTTCTAGGATTTTTCGCATGCCATGGTTTTGGTAACAATCAGTTGCTTCAGTATATGAATGTGCAAACAAATTATATGGAAAAGTTAATTTTCTATGAAAACTCTTTGTTCCACAATCCACTTTTATTACAGCATAAAATATGTTCATGAATAATTTCATAATTTTCAATGCCATTAAGACCATGTGACATCAGCAAAGTATTTTACATAATTATATTTCTCAAAATTCCATTTCATTTAGTGTCTTTGTCAGAATATGAATTTTCAAAATTGAACCAATGCAACCAGAATGATTATCTTACCAGCTCGGATAATTAAAGATTACATCTAATTCTCATTCCTTGAGAAGTGAAGTTCAATAAAATATTTCATAATTTTTTTGTAGATAAATTGTTTTATACTGAGAAAGACTTTTGGATGATCAGAATTGTGTCAACTTTTATATACTGCATTTTACCTTATTTTGGAAATTCACACTAAGAGCAAATTAAATTACAAAATAGTGACACCTTCACATTGTTGATAACGTGCTGGTAGGCAAAACATTGTTAATTCCTTATCAAAGGATAAAGAAAACAATAGGTTTAGAAAAAATATCAATTAAACTGTTGTCATAAATATGGTACAAGAATATAATAGAAATCCAAAAGATATCAATAATCGCTTTCCTTGATCGTAACAATTGTCAACTTTCTACTGGGCATTTTGCAATTTAGAAAAGTCTATTTTCAATAGGTTTGATTTATTAGTACATTAAAATTATTAGTGAGATTATTAGTTGAGAAGATCAATCAAAACTCGTAAAAAGATGTGTACACAATGTCCCGAATATGAATGTAAACATGCAATATATGATCCAACTGATCCTAAATTGGAACAGTTCTGCAAAGCTAATTTCTAAACCATAAATTCAACAAGAATTGTTGAATTTGCAAGAGTGAAATTAGTTAAATTAGAATAGTATTAGGTAAGTTTTAAGCAGTCTTCCTACAATAAAATTATATGAATAATTTTTGTACAGTCCTTTTATGTGTTATTAACCCATTTGTTTGTACAGAAAAATATTAAAACCATTGGTGTATGAAAGTATATTCTACTGTTTAAATGAAGTTCACTTCCTTTCATTTTCAAATATTTAAGGACATCATAAATGTGGGAAGAAATCAAAAGAGAATAAAAATTGTCTTCAATTAATATAAATTAAAAAACTATATTTTTTTAATTAGTAACACTGAAATTTTCAAAAATCCTGCCACCGTTGAGACTCAAACCTAGGACCTCCCGGTCAGAGGGACTGCAGTGACATCAGTTGATGCCCTGAGCAATCTCTTCCGGTTGAATGGTTTGAAATTATTTTTAATTCGTAAATATTTCTTGCTAAAAAACATGACAAAAAATGTTAATAACCACACAGAATTTGAATAATAAGAATTTGTAAGTACATTCCCTTGGGAATTACTCAATATAGTTCCAAATGTAACAGAATAATTAAATTAAAATTCTCTCATTATAAAAATCTCTGTCGGTTCAAAGTTCAAAATTATCCTATAAAATCTTGTCCACTCTGGTTCTCCTTACAAAAAGCAAAGAAATCAACTACGTTAATGCACAAATTGCTAGGAACAAAATGCAATGAAGATCTTCAAAGCTACAATAAATATGATGTAAAGTGCAGATATTTCAGTTTCTTACAGTTTTCTAATGTATAAAAATATTCTAATAATTATGATGTCTTAAAACAAAACGTTTTCAGAACCACATGCTTAGTCTCTGAAAAGAAGTGATCATATTAAACTTGAAATTTTTTGTTATTTTGAATCAAAATTTAGTTTAATGCAATGCAGGTTAGTATTGTCCAACCACCAACATGCACAATATATTTTCATGAGGTTCCTTTTATTATCTCTGAGCTTTAAATTTATTTCAATATAATCAGAATAAGATCTAGGGCCATCAGACATTTCTAAGCTCTTCTGTACTTGTATAGCTCAGGAAGCATGTTTGACATAATTTTTTACTTTTTCACATGCAACACATGTAACTCGATTATAGCTGTGGTATTTCTGGTGAAATAAATTATTCCTCTTTGAGTACTAATAAAACAATTTTTGGAGAATTGGGCAGATAAAGTAAAGTAGAACTCCGACCTTGACAGTTGTTATAGTATTTTCCAGATATCTCAATTACAAAAACAAAACAGCAAGTAAGTCTGCTGGCAATGTTATATTATTGACCTTCAGGGTCTAAGAGATCTTATTTTATGTACCTAAGACAAGTTATTGAAAGGCAAAAATAGGTAGCATGACATGTTAAAAAATAAATAAATACATCAGCTTGACTTTTCATTTAATCTTTTTATATGCATCAAATGACCAGTTTGTTTCATAACTGCTAAATGTTTTAATGTTGGAATAAAAGGCAATGCCTTAATTTTCTTCTTACTTAGATACAATTAGGATTTTTTAACTAAAACTGATTTCAGCTTCAGGGTGATTAACAGCCCATCAACACTAGAGGTAATTTTCCGTAGTTTTAATTACAAAGAAAAATTTTAAAACTTTTCAGGACATGTAGATATTTTTACGCTCTAATGGTGAACACATTTTTAATCAGTGTAAATATGGTTCCTTGATACTGTAGCCAAATCTCTCATAATTAATTTTAAGTGTCTACATTAAAAAAGTGTACAATAGCCATTGGACTAAATATTCAATGTTAAGTTTTAACATAACAAGAAAAAATGCAAAATAGTTGTAAAATGAATTTGAATAAAATATTACAAGTCTAGTTTACCTTTTCATTCATACTTTTATAATATGATTTTTAAATTGAAATTGTAATCTGTCATGGGGAATAAACTAATGAACAAGTATTTTCATTCTGAAGCAGCCCATAACTCTCCAGATCAAGGCTTCATGATTTTTGTTCAGAGGTATTCACAAAACCACAATGTTGATGGTGATTACACAACTGATTTTGAACTTAAAAGACAGTCAATTTTTTGTAAACGCACTACGCAAATTGAAGTGTGTAAAACCTTAACGTGAAATGTGTGTTAACAGGGCTTTTATTCAGCTTGTATCGAATGCCATTATCTCATTGAACAACTCTTGAAATTTCAATCAGCTATACTCTACACAATTAAGAGTGAAAAATGATTAGTATACCACATCCCAGTGAATCCAAATGTGACACTTCTCCTTCACAGATAGTATTTTAAGTAGAAGAAAATTCCAACAAAACAATCATGTTATAACTAAAGACTGGATTTTCAAGCAGTAAAACTCTCTAAAATGTGCAGAAAAAACACCAAAACATGCAAAAACATACACTGAGAAGATGAAGACCATGCATAACAGTGTTATGTAGCCCAAAAACTCCAGTTAATCCACTTAATTTTATACGTGGAATGTGATATTTAAGTCTGTACATACTGTTTAAACAAACCATATTTTACATTTTAACTATTATTTGCAAACAAAATTAAATTAACATAAAAGCACAAACAAGTAAATACAAAAGTAGAAAAATACAAATATAACTCCAGGAACCAAAAATAATTAAGAGATATAATGAAAACAATTAAGAACATTTCTTCTAACTTACAATTATGTATATTTCCAGATTACTTTCTCAGAACTTATATCTTCTATCAACTAATATGATTCAGAGAGGAAAGCTTCGTTCTTCATTTATACTACTAGTCTGTATGCCGATTGTCATTTTGATGAACGTGTGCATGTTGCTAAAAGTGGTCGAAAATTGTGTTCATTGTCTCTTGTACCTTGCAGGGCTCTGTTCCGTGAAATTCAATGAATTTGAAACGCAGTGCAGCTTGTCACTAAGTTTTGTGCCCGGACGTAAGTTCCAACGTGACTCGCTCATGCTGTCTTGTGTTGGTAAGTTTAGTGAAGATTTACAAAACAGTTATATGATTTTTTGACCCTGAACATAGCGTTTGCTGAATGGCACAACCAAGGGCTGAGGATCCCTGCTTTAATAACTCAGAAAAATATTTAATTAAACAGTAGTCATCAAGAAAGGTACAGTTCACAGGGCAACAAAATGCAGAATTGATACATATTAAACGGCACTTGGGTGCCACAAACCACCCAAATGCTGGGTTGTCATAAACACTTTTTTCCTTAAATGAAACCTTCAAAAAAGATATATTAAATCAAGTCGATAATATAAAAATTATATTTTATGCAATAAAACTATGAGTCTTGGAAATTCATCTAGTAATATACCAAAATGTGCAATTTACAGGCAACATTATCTAAAACTCGCAATATCTTGTAGTAACCTCCAAAAATCCACAAAATAAAACAAGGACTTTTCATGATTCAAATTTTTGTTAAATGTTTCATCCAATTTCAAGTTAGCAATGAAAAGATCTCTCTTATATACGGTACTCTCTGGAAAAGGTATAGTAACATGAAAATCCGGCCTTTAGTTATAACAACCTTATAACTCTCAAAGAAACACTTAAGCCAAGATAACTTCCAGAACACACACTTTCCATGCAATTTATCATCTACAGTATGTAGGAACAATGTTGTGACTGTTCCACCAGTTGACTCAGTCCCTTCCTAGAAAAAAATATGTTTTTGATTATAATCTTTTGTTGTAAATATATAATATGTATGTTATATAATTGTTGTTACAAAAAATGTTAATAGTTACTAAAACACAAATTTAAAATCTTATAACAGGTTTGATTTAGTCAAAAAACAGTAAAAACTGTACGTGACGTATGGGGGAGAAATTCATCTGTGTATGTGAAAGTTACATTCCTTTGCCAACACCCTTACCCCTACTACAAACTAAATATGAGCACACACGAGATATCTGTGTATTTGACAGTTAAAATGTAAGCATTGACTCGTACTTTACATGTACACAGTACTTTGCATGAATAGGAATATCACTGTGGTGTTGGAAGTATTTCAATATACAATTAATGTATGTTAAAAAAGACAATGGAAAGGGCTTTGTAATAATTAAAACAAAAATGTCCAAGCTTTCCCCTTCCCAGAATTAGTTTTTGAGTTGTATTTGCAGGCAATCTAACCAAAGTGTAAAACATACAGGAATGAAATAAGTAAACATATGTATATAACAGTTTATTGTTTGCTAAAAAAATGCTCATACAGCTTAGTTTGTTTTATATCTAAACATCGAGCACATATCAAGTTCAAAATCTTAGAATATCAACAATTGTTATAGATTTTCACCAACAAAAAATTTCAGATGAAAAAACATAGGCCCTACATTGCAAACTAAAAAGAAATGCAATTTTACAATACACATGATTCTTTTTCGAGTTCACATAATATTTAACAGAAAATTTGTATTTCAAACATAATCTCGAAATAAATGGTGAATTCCTTAGTCAATGCTACTGTATGAGATTTCCCTGAAGGCTACCTGCACAAGCTAAGAGGCAGACACCGCAACAGTCCTGACTAGGGATGAGGTTATACACACTATGTGGCACAAGAGATACTCCAAGCCACAAGTCACTAATGAGCTCTGTTCACGGATTTCCCTCTCATCAGTCTTGAGAAAAACAAACATTCCATCTTCATGTAATGCAGGAAGTTGTATGAAAAGTACAAAAGTATCTGACCAAGAATGGCACCAAATTGCTGTGTCAGCCATCAGCATTGTGAAGTCCCAACCTGTAAAATAAACAATCCTCAAATAGTAATTGAATGAAATACGTATTTGCTCAAATCTCAATTCTATGCCAGATTTTTGTTGAGGCTTTCATAAACTAGGGTTGTAGATTTGAGTTTTCAACTTGCAATTGTGGTGAGGTAATCAAAGACAAATCATCATAAAATTTATTGTTATCTACATCATCCCTTCATAGTTGTCCAAGACAGCCAAGTATCAGTTCTCTCAACTTCCCGGCTAACATCCCATTTGGAATATGAAAGAAAGATAAGGAACCTTTATCCTTGTCTTTTATCTTTGTACGACTTATATTTGTAGTCTTTTTGCTGCCCAATGTGAAAAACGTTCTCTGCTGTTATGCCACACACAATGTTCAAAATACCAAAATCCTAGCTTCCTACTGCAAGTATAATTTGAAACCACTATTCACAAGTTATTATGTAGTTTATATTGTATTTTAAGATCAGCACAACAGTTAATTCAATAAAGTAAAAATAAAAAAAAATAAACAACTTTGCAAGAAATGATTATTAAATAAGATTAAATAAAATTAAGTAATAGTATGATTAATTAATTAAACATACTTGTGCCTTGTTTAATATCTAAAAACCCTTGAAATTCACTTAATTTTCAAATTCTGAACGGGTCCAGTCTGATTTTCTTTCATTTGTCCTGTACAAGTCATGATCATTTCATTGGCAAGACATTTTTAAACTAAATAAAATGAATTCAAAGCAGATATTTTCTAATAATTAGGGAAAGGATTTTCATGTAAATATGTTTTTCTATAGCAACAGGATAAGGGCATTCAATAGTATATTTTAGAGTTTACAAGAGTAGATTATGAATGAATTAGAACTATTTTTATTTTACAAATTTTGGTATAATTACATATTTTAATTATTGTTATGTTTTAATATGTTTATACATTGAAACGGAGCATTTCAGTTGTGAGTTTGCAATATATGTTACTAGAATCATCTTTCTCACAAAGCAATGTAAGGCTACTATGCACCTATGACCTCCTCCACTGGACCTTCGCCATTAATTATGAAATGTAACCACCCACCACCCCTACTTCTTAGAAATCATGTACTTGGAATCAAGGATGAGTAGATGTTTGTGAAGACGAAGTAATATCAACCATGTGATAGCACATGTTTCATATGGCTCATACACAATTTGACTGAAAACTAAACAAATATTTCTTACATCACTCATTGTTTTATTGCATTTTTTTACGATCATTGTTTTATCCCAATTTGGGAGAGGGAAGGTACGTTCCATTTTACCCTCCCTCCTCTTTTGGGATCCATCACTAGGTACACAGTACTAATATTCTCTTGAAAACTGGCTCCTAATAAACAATGTTTATACAATGTACAATTTTATATTTTGAATAAAAATTGCATGTGTGGTGAACAGCAGTGTACTGAAGACAGAGCAACTTTTTGTAAACAGAATAATAGGCACCAACTCTTGGAATCACTGCCAGATGAAATTTCTTTAAGAATTTACCATCAGCAAATAGTATACCACAAGTGATGCAAGTTAAAGATTAGATTATAATAAAGTAAATTTTCATATGTTAATGAGATATTACACCAGTACACATGTGATGTCATGCTGTGCAAGCAAAATAATTGTGCAACTCCTCCAATTTTGGATCTAATTTATAATGTCTGAACTACTAACTCACATTGTAGCACAGTGTCAATGATAGGACACCAAGTCATAACATCAAATGCTGAATTATAACAATTTACAATAATAATAACTTGGGTTTCTGATAATCACTAATGGACGTAGAAACAAACAAAACTCTATACAAGAGCTGACAAAGTAGATTTGGAATCATATTATGAAAACGTTTAATTTAAATAATGTATATGTTCAACCTATAGTCTCAGTGCATTTTTACGTTGACCAGTGTTAGGAGACTCATGAATTCAGACAGGAAGTTTTAAAAGGAAATCAGTTATTTGTAATGATATTATAAATTATTATTAAACATAAGTTTGTCCAATTATAATGTCTGTTTATTATTATGGCAGTGCCTGCTGTATAACACAGATTGTGCATAACCCATCCATTTGCATGCATTTTTAATTTGCTAGTACAATGAGATCTCTCTATGATTATGTGGTACGTCATTAATAACCATTACCTGTAGAGAAAGGAAATTGTTTGGATTTATACTAGCACAACAACACATGTCAACCTAACTATATCAAACGTTAAACGATGGAAATAGAAATTAGTTTGAATTTACACTAGCATAACCAATTATAATGCACTAGTCATATAACTACATTAGACTTTAAAATCTGTTACTTTATAAGTATAGAGGGGGATTTCACTGAAACCTGTAAAACTATTAGTAAAGTTTACCACTGTACTTCAATGTTATTTCCAGCAAATAACTATTTCCACATCAGGACCCTATACAAGCATTTTTATTTATCAAAATGTCAACTTTTTTGCTGCAGAAATACAATAATTTCTCCACACAATGTCACAAATCATTGACAGCACATATTTGTAACTTCTACATCACATAGGCAACATAACAAGCTATAAAAAATCAGTTGAAGAAAGTATCAATCTTGAGAGGGAGTATTTTGATGGTATTGTAACAATGGAAGTTTATGATGTAGTTCAGCTCACCTGTAACCTAATCCAATCCCACGTCGTCCCCACCAGAGGCTGGGGCAGAGCCAGGGGGAGCAGCACCAAAACCACCCCCTGGGAAACCACCTGGGAAACCCCCCATTCCTCCCAAGCCCCCTAGCCCACCCATCCCTCCACCCATGCCTCCAAATTTGGAAGCCAATTTGTTGATGACCGTTGCCACCTTTGGGTTGCTCTGGTACTTGATGATGTTGGCAGGATTTGCAGAAATATCTTGGAAAGCTGCAGCTACTTCTGGGTCCTGTAGGTTCATTAACACAAACACACATACTGATCAATCATGTAACTCTCATCACTCTCGCTCAAAAATAGTTTAACTTGTAATCACTATTGTTCACAAAGTCATATGCCACAGAAAATAAACAAGAATCGCAGCAGCCTGTCAAAAGAGCGTACTGGTAACTGTGAAACGTGTAGGCAGTAGAGCGACGATTTACCTGGAAAGCGGTGAGGATCTCGGGGTCGTTGAGCAGCTTGTAGAAGTCGCCCATGCCCGCCCCGGCGCCGCCGCCCGCGCCGCCGCCC